AAAGAAAAATGCAGCCTCTCTTGCAGAATGCATTCTACACTGACTGCGCTCCAGGGTCTCCAGCAGTCCATGTGCAGACAAAGTTCCCATTAATGGCAGGAGGAGTTTTAACTGATTCAGCAGTGTAGGATCAGACCTCTAATCAATATGTACCATGAACAGAATTTTCAAAAGTCCCTACAGGCCAAATTTTCAAAGATATTTAGGTGCATAAAGACATACAAAGGCACTAAGTAGGATTTTAAGGAGCACATAGGTACCTAATTAAAAATGGGTGCTTTCAAAAATCCCAGTTATTGCCTTTCTGAATCTTTATGTGACTAAATACCTTGGAAAATCTGGCCCTGAATAATTGATCAGCCTAAATCTATGGGGCTAAGGAATTAGCCCCCTAAATAATATATACATTTTTGAAAATTCGACCTCGTATGCATAAGGGGCATGAAACTGTATTTGACCTCAGAGAATTTATTTCAAATTTGTCCCTCATGGAAGCAGCATTTTGCTGTGCTTGCCTGCGGAAGTATCAGAGAATTCAGCCCCAGAAACCAGGGATCCCTCAAGACCCATGCAGAGCCTATGCTTTCATGCTGGCTTTGGCTCCCCACTTCCCTTTCCAGTTTCTTGTTCACCCAGGAAATTTCCAGCCCACTGCTTCTTCTGGAAGTATCCTAATATCACAGGGATGCCTCTACATCACAGAGGGGGAAGCAATTTAATTAATGCTATCAGGGTCCTCTAGGTGTGGAGAGAGGATAATGCTGTAGAAACAGCTCTGCCTTTGGTTCACTCCCTCCTAATTCTTGCACTCCCCCACTCCAAAGACCAATTCCTGTGTGGGGATCCTAAGCAGTTGAGGAAAAGGGAGGGGAACAATCCCATCAAAGCCGTACTCCCCAAACTGCCCAATCCTCCTGGATTTTTTTACTCTCCTATAACTAAAAGGGCCAGACTGTGATACTACCTTGCAGTAGGAGTAGTTCCATTGGATCAGTGGTACTGCTTATCTAAAGCATTACTCAGGCTCCATGCAATTCCAATGAACAAATGAACAATAACTTCCTTCAGTGATTCAGTGTGTGCATTATCCATTTTAATGCATTCCTAGATGTGTTACTGGACATGACATCTAAGGCAGACAACTACAAGACTTTTAGAAGGGCCCAGGGATTAGCAATGTACACCTGAGGTAACAGGATGTATGTTTTTCCTTAAACTTGTAAAAATGAATTAAACCCAAAGTATTTTATGGAGCCTGAATTGCCAGTTGAGAAGCAGCTCAAACAGAAGGGAGAGCTCCACGTTTGGAGGTAGTTTAAATTCCCTCTGGTCTTTAGGATTATGGCAGTACCTTGTGGGATTTTCCCATTATCTGTCTCCCTGGTCTCACCCTACACTGTCTGCCTCCCCCACACTCAACTTTGGCCTGGCTGCTGCCTCCAAGCCAGTTATTCTGGCTGCCATTCCTTTTATATCAGTCAGCTTCTATTTTTTTTTTTAAAAAAGGATCTAAGTGCTTTCTCTATTTTAATAGAAGCTGGAGTGTCTAATAGAGCCAGCTGCCAAAAATGTCATCTTCGAAGGGGCTGCTGGGTAAAAGTCTGTTATGTTTCTTTATTCCTATGCACTGAGTAACAACCTAATGACTCCAGAATACCACATATATTATTAACATGGTATACAGTAATGATTCCAGAGAGTATTGTAGAATTCTTACTATGCTAAATTTCATACACAATGATTCTCATATAAATTTCCTTGGCACCAAGAGTCAAACTTTCCAGTTATGAAGTCTACTGCCTAGGACTGCTACCTTAGGGAATTACAATATGAAAGGATAAACAGACCCCTAATAGTTTGTAATGACACACAGCCATTACACTGTCATTTCTTTGAATTCTTATTATTCCAAATATGAAATATACATTGAGAAATAGCTTTGGACTGAGATTTTTCTATGTTATTTCAATTGATTATACCAGACTGACAAAGAAAATGACCTATAAATCTGAATAATTACAGTATATCAGATTGCCAAAATTCTAATTGTCCTATTCTTTACCTGCTGCCATACTTACTCCAAAGAGTGAGTTCAGTGAACTTTGGCTCTTTTAGGGCCAGATTCTCACCTGGTGTTAGTGTAAGCCCAGAATGTCACAAGATCTGAGGAGGTGGCCCTTGCTAACATCATCTCTCTCTCCAAGCAAATCAGATAACAAAGGTATGTGATAATGTGATGATACAAAAAACCAAAGTGCAGGTATCCAGCAGAATTGCATTGCTTGAGGTGTTGATTTCATAAAATATTTGTTAAATTGTAACTACTGGCTAATCCATCTTGATTCAAAAACCTGTCTCACCCACCTATCAAATTCCTCAATAGTCTATATAGAAAGTAGGAGGGGGGAGGAGAAAGTAAACATAGAATCATAGAAATGTAGGGCAAGAATGGACCTCAAGAGGTCATCTAGTCCATCCCTTCTGAAAGTGTATGCCAACTGTGCAAATGACTGACTTTCTGGCTCACCAAGAGACAGCAGAACTCTATAAAGGAGAGCTACCAATGGTAGTTCTATATCAACATTTTAGGTGGACCACCATAACTTGCATTAAACTTTCTTCTTTAATACGATAAATAAACAAACTGTGGTAAATAGAGGGGGTCACAGAATAGGAAAAACTTCCACAAAGTGTCTTTTTTGTCAAAAAATTCAAATTTTCAATTTTTTTGATCCCCCTAGCAATTAATAATTGATAAAACTTAAGTAAAACTCATAGCTGCCAAATTTTGCACAGCCCCAGGTATGACATTTTATGCAAACTATATGATAAACTAACTGCGTCTAGATTAGAAGACTTTAAGGCCAGAACAGACCACTCCAATCATCCAATGTGATCTCTTGCACAGCACAGACCATAGAATTATGGTTTCTTCATCAAGCCCATAAGTAGTGGTTGAGCGAGGGCATAACTTTGTATTACAAAGAAATCCAATCCTGATTTAAAGAGTTCAAGTGATGGAAAATCTACCAAATCCTAAAGTATGTAGTTCCAAAGGTTAGTTACATCCACTATAAAAAATGTGCACCTTATTTCGAGTCTGAATTTGTCTAGCTTCAGCTTCCAGCCATTGGATCTTGTTATGCCTTTGCTAGACTAAAGAGTTGTCTACTATCAGAAATCTTTTCCGTATATCAGTACTTATAAACTGAACTCTTAACCTTCTCTTCATTAAATTCTTTAGCCTCTCATTGTAAAGCATATTTTCAAGATCTCAGATCATTCCTATAGCACTTTTCTGAACCCTTGCCTATTTGTCAACATCCTTTTCAAAGTGTTGACAACAGAACTGGTGATAATATTCCAGTAATGGTCTTACCAATGCCATATATAGAGGAAATAGCACCTCCCCACTCCTACTTGATATTCCATTGGTTATATACACACAACCCTAGTATTTGCTCTTTTAGCCGCCACATCACATGGAAAACTCATGATTAATTTATCTATCATGACCCCTAAGTCCTTTTCTGAGTCATTGCTTTCCAAAATACAGTCCTACATTCTTAGTTCCTAGACAAATGGCTTTGCATTTAGCTGTAATAATGCATGTTTGTTCAAGAGATGAGATCTAGATTGCTCTGTAGTCCGGACCTGTCATCATTTATCACTGCACCAATTTCTTTGACTTGTGTTTGTGAGTTTTGCATATGTACAAACATCTGCATATGACCATAAACTGTAACTTATGGTCAACACATCCTGCCTCAGTCAGTGGCAAGTGAAGGACAGGAACTGCAGAAAATCTGGCAGCTTGTGGCTAGTGTAAGTGGGAGTGACTCTGAGGAGCTGCTAGGATAGATGGCAGGTAAGTGCCAGACGGAGTCTGAGATGGATGGGTGCCGAACAAACTAAGGGTGCTGGAGGGAGTCTGGGATTGCTGAAGAGGAGGAAGCAGGGAAAACTGGGATTCTCAGAGAGGACTGGGTATCCACTTTTGGAGGGGGAGGGGCTAGGAAAGCCTGTTTAGAGGTAATCTGGAGGCTCAGGGGAGTTGGCTGTATTCATAGGGAGAAAGCCAGACATTGGGATAGGTGACTCTCTGGTAGGATGCTGGGGATCCTGGTGCTAGTACTAGGCCCCTCACCTCTGCCCTATGACTGCCTTCTTCTCCTCTTGGCAGCTCATTCCCTACGGTGATTCAGCATGGGGAGACAGACAGGCCACATGGCTGCCTGGCTTCAGGCAGAGCAAGTGCTACAGTGATCACAGATGGCCTGTAACAGCAACTGCAGCCAGTCCTGCAGCCCAGCTCTAATTGAATGTATGGCAGATGTTACCAAAATTATTACAGGGGAAGATGTGTAAGATGGAAAGAGCCAAGCTTGACTCTGAGAGCTCAGACTTTGTTTTCAGGACTGGCAGTTAGAAAAATCATCTTTTTTTACTTGTACACTGCGTTCAATTTGATAGGGAACTCACTGAAAGACAATGAACATGAAATTCTACTATGCCATTTTTACAATGTTTCTTTGAAGAGCAGAAGGAGACTTTAGGGCTGATCAGAAGTTTACTGAAGCAAATAGAAAGACTTTCATAGTCCCCAATGGTCTTTGAGGCAGTCCATTTAAGAACACATTTCAAAGCAACATTTGATGTTCTTCTGTGGATTCCAGGCTGTTCACTGAAGTGCTGCTGTAACAGAGCCTCCAATGAAATGAGCACTACATTGTCGAGGATACCTGCACGATTTCTAAAATAGCTCATTTTTGTGAACGAATTGGCATATATGAAAAAGCACTCAGCATTTGGAGGAATGTATACTGATTTTACTAGAGTTTTATTTTCTCATTTTTCTATGTGAAGTAGCGGTCCCAGGTTCTGAGGGGTAGAGCCTCCACAAACAAAAACCTCTGAAACTCTCAAATACAATTAGATCCATGAAGTTACAGATCCCAAATGCTAATAACATATGCGACAACATGTTATCTAAGACTTACTTTGCCAGGCTTGTTTGCATCAAAACTGTTTTCTTTAAATTTCTCTTGTAGGGTCTCAGCTAGTCGACAGAGCAAGGCACCATTATCCAACTTCTCCATAAAAGTTTCTGCCGTTATTTCCCTACCTGAAAGGCAAGAAGAAAATTAACATGGAAAAAAAGGATGCCTGTGTCTACACAGGAAATGTAAATACTGGATTTGCAAGGAAAATCCATAAACCAAACCCACTGAGGTCAATGGCAGTCTTTCCATTAACTTCAATGGGCTTAGAAACAAGCCTTAACTGAATAACTCGCATTACACTGAGTTTTTATCATTTAGTCTTGCTGCTATTTTCCTGGCACTGACACACAATTTTTTGGATACATTTTTTTGGTTGGATAATTTGCTGTTTTCTTTGGGATGCTGTTGTTAAACATTCGTCTTGTCAAACAACACATTTTTGTAGAATGAGTCCAACTAATATGCCAGATTCTGTTAATCTTATTTTACCATTTCTGACTATACAGGACCACTTTTTTATTTTAGTGACATTAAAAGGTGCCAGATTGACAGCCCTGCAGCATAATGTCTTAAATTTATCTGCAGAACAAGTACACTGCAAGCTTCACCCTTACTCCCAATAGTCCCCAGATTTAGAGATGAGATGTTAATTTCTATTTCATTGTTAATTTAGGGTTTGATCCTGGAAGGTGCTGACAATTTTCTGTCAAAATTGTTTTTTGACGGAAAGTTGAGTTTAACAAAATTATTTTTTTTATTAAAGGAGTGTCTACTTTCCATGGAAAATTACCAATTTATTTGGCCTAAAAACTAAATGCCCATAAACAAAAATATTTTGATTTTGGTAATGCTGTCACATTGCTTCATGAGGATTGAAGTTTAGTTGCCTCATTTCCCCACTGAACTCTACAGGCTGGCTCCCTGGTGGACTATATCTCACATGATACACTGCTTCCACTTTCCAAGATGGGACATCCTGATGCATCATAGCAGATGTAATCCAACCAGGGTGCCAAGCCTATAGATCAGTGGTTCCCAAACTTGTTCTGCCGCTTGTGCAGGGAAGGACCCTGGCGGGCTGGCCCGGTTTGTTTACCTGCCACGTCCTCAGGTTCGGCCAATCGCGGCTCCCAGTGGCCACGGTTCACTGCTCCAGGCCAATGGGAGCTGCTGGAAGAGGTGGCCAGTACGTCCCTTGGCCCGTGCCGCTTCCAGTAGCTCCCATTGGCCTGGAGCAGTGAACCGCAGCCACTGGAAGCCACGATCGGCCGAACCTGCGGATGCAGCAGGTGAACAAACTGGCCTGGCCTGCCAGGGGCTTTCCCTGCACAAGCGGCGGAACAAGTTTAGAAACCACTGCTATAGATAGGCTTGGAAGGATTAGACTTTTATCAGTGTCAGAAAACGTGGATTTCACTATACACGCACAAACGATAAAAATATTTCCACTGATAGTAACTGAAATTTACAGATAAGCAAAGTAAGAAAATGCTGCTTGAAAACTTAAGAATTTGATTTAAGGATACTTAATTTGTATATTTTGACATGTGTAGTTGACAATTTTGTTTTAACTGTTATAAAAATTTTGAATGTCAATGCCTTCTTTCATTAAATAATTATTTTCTGATACCCTCCATAATTTCCTGCAAGTGTGAAAATTAGAAATAGATAAAAATAATAAAATGATTTAAAATGATCAATATTACCAATCAAAATTATATAAAAAATAAAAATTGAATTATGTCAAGCCTTCCTATAGAGAAGAAATGAGGCAACTGAACTTCAATACCAGGCAAATTAATTGGAGCTTTAGTTAAAAAAAAAAAAAAGAAAAAAAAGAAAAAAAACAGAAATATCAGACACAGGTGAGCACAATATGTTGGGGAAGATCAACATGTCTTTTGTACAGGGAAATCATGCCTCGCCAATATATTAGAATTCCTTGAGGGGTTCAACAAATATGTGGACAAGTATGATCCAATGGATATAGTGTACATGGACTTTCAAAAAGCTTTTTGACAAGATCCCTCACCAATGACTTTTAAGCAAAGTAGGCAGTCCTAGAATAAGAGTGAAGGATCTCTCTTCGATCAGTAACTGATTAAAAGTTAGAAAACAAAGGGAAGGGATAAATGGTCAGTTTTCACAGTGGAGAGAAGTAAATAGCGGGGTCCCCCAAGGAAATGTACTGGGACGTGGGCTGTTCAACATATTAATAAATTATCTGGAAAAAGAGGTAGACAGTGAGGTGGCATAGTTTGCAGACAGTACTAAATTACTTGAGACAGTTAACTCTTCACAGTCAGACATGGATTTACGAAGGGATCTCACAAACCTGAGTGACTGGGCAAGAAAATGGCAGATGAAATTCAATGTTGATAAATGCAAAGTAATGCACATTGGAAAACATAATCCCAACTGTACATACAAAATGATGGGGTCTAAATTAGCTGTTACCACTCAAGAAAGAGATCTTGGAGTCATTGTGGATAGTTCTCTGAAAACAGCTGCTCAATATTCAATGACAATTGAAAAAGCTAGAAGAATGTTAGAAATCATAATAAGACAAGAACTATCATTCCACTATATAATTCCATGGTATGCCCACACCTTGAGTACTGAGTGTAGTTCTAGTCTCCCCAACGCAAAAAAGATATATTAGAATTAGAAAAAATACAGAGAAGGGCAACAAAAATGATTAAGGGTCTGGAACAACTTTCATCTGAGAAGAGGTTAAAAAGACTGGGACTCTTCAGCTGAGAAAAGAGATGAGTAAGGGGAGATATGATAACAATCTCTAAAATGATGATGATGTGCAGAAAATGAATAAGGAAGGGTTATTTACCTCTTCACATAACACAAGAACCAAGGGTCACCCAATAAAATTAATAGGCAGCAGGTTTAAAATATAAGGAAGTACTTCACACAATGAATAGTCAACCTTTGGAACTTGTTGCCAGGGATGGTGTGAAGGCCAAAAGTATAACTGGATTCAAAAAAGAATTAGATGAATTCATGGAGGATAGGTCCACCAATGGCTATTAGTCCCATGCACTAGTTGTCCCTAAATCTCTGACTGCACACAATAATACAATGCAGTACATGCAATAATAATCATTTTAAAAAACTGTCTCACGCTTCCATTAAAAAAAGGACAGAGGGGAGAAAAAGAGAGAGGTTGGGTTGTTTTGTTTTGAACCACATTCCCTTTTTTTAAAATAAATTCCTTTTTTCTACCCCTTTAAAACAAAATACATTTTTGAAACATTTCATTTTGAATTTTTTTCTCCGAAAATATACAAACCAGAACAATTTTAATCAAATTTTAATTTACAAAAGCACAAAAATCAAAAGGCTACTACAGTAGGATTTATCTGACCATGCCTTTGAAATTGCTGGAAAGCTTTTAGGTACTTTGACAATAATGTAACACCTTGAAGGAAAACAGTCCCCAGTGTTCTTCATTTTGTAGGCTAAAACCAGAGAGGAATAAAATAAGATCTGTAAAGCATGTGATTCTCAGATGCAACAATAGACTCACTTTTCTGGTTCAAGTTAAACTTGCTATTTCTGATACATTTATTCTTTCAAGAACATCTGTTTGACGTAAAATCTTTTTTTCCCCTTCATTTTTTAGCCTTGATTCTCTCCACTGTATATTTCACATTGTAGCCTCTAGTGTATATAATGACTTCTGCAGGTGGCAGAAGAGCAGTAGCAGCACTGCATCACAATGGAAGCCTTTGCATAACTGACATTATTTTAGTGGTGCATGCAGCTCTTCTGGAGCCAGGAATTAAATTAATAGCCCCCAGACACAAAAAAGTCAGTGTCCCAGCATCTTAATACCTTCACCACTATGTTGGCCTACATTTTCTATTGTTAATAATGAAAAATATTTTCCATTTTGACCCTTTGGTCGAAGGTGCCGAAACTATCAGAAAGCTAATTTAAAGAATGGACATATTAGAAGCTGTTTTATTTTAAAAGGCAGTATTATAGAACTCTCTTGTAAGATACGTACATTAATATCTTTAACTATAACTGAAGTTTTATTGTTTTAAATGCAGACTCTTTAGGATTTTCTATATAGGTAAAATAAACCTCATTTTAAATGCCCATGATATCCTATAATTTATGGACTTGGCTATTCTCTTGGCTACTTTTATAAATCTGATTAAAGCAATAAACTTAAAATATATATTCCTTTTTAAACAGATGCAGAAAAATGCTTTCTATCTTCTCTTGCCTTTTAACGATACAATTACATTAGCAGTTTGATTATTGCATTTTTATATATTAAACTGGAATATTTTAGTTCTGCTGCCTTTTATGAATGCTGAAAGAATGAGTTTTGCATTGAACATCTGTATTTAATGAAAAATATATTAGGTGTTAGCTTTCAATTCACTGTATTTTATGGCCCCAAAAGGTGGCATTTCTTTGCGAAAAGAGACACATTACATATTTAACAGTTGAAATGTATTGACTCAAATGAGAGTTATGTTCATAGCTGGGGAACAAAAAATGGCTTCATATATTTGGATGGAATAAACATTAAACTCCATTAAAAAAAATCTTTAAAAGAGCTATAATTACAAGAAAGCAGTTGCAATGTGTATATAGGATGGGAACAGCATAATCTATAATAAAAACTAATGCTAGAAGCATGCAAACAGGAAAATAAAGTCTTCTTCAATATAGCAATCAGTCATCCCACTGATTTTAATAGGACTATTTTGCATGAATTAGGATAGCTGCTTACATAAATAAGAGTTATTTAGATCAGGCCCCAAATCCTGCTGATGCTGGATCGGGTTTTGCAATTCAGTTTTGAGAATCGTTAGCAGTCAAAGCATGGAAGCCAAGGTGCTCTGGCAGCTATAGTAGGTTTTAAAATGTCACTCTAGCCTATGTACTTACAATAAGATTATCAATCATTACCATTTAAAAACACAAATAAATATAATGTCATAAACTAAAGGTTTGTAAATTGAGACATTTTGGACCAGATCATCAGGTCTGGCTGAGCTGTGCTTTGCACCGGAGCTAATTCTGGGGCCAGCTGAAGACCATTTCTGCTCCCAGCATAACCTGGAACAAAGTAAGGGCTCCTCTAAGG